AGCCCCGCCTGGAGGCCACGCTCGCCGCCCTCAAGGAGCAGCTGGTGAGCGGCGGGCTGTGCCCGCGCGCGGCGGCCGTTGTAACGGTCGCCGGTGCTGCATGCGGGAGCGCGTGAAGGGCTTTGTGCCGCGCGGAGCTGGGCCTTCGTGGGGTTGAAGGGCAGGGGAGGGGGCGGTTGGCTTAAGTGATCTAAGAGGCATCGTGCCGCTTTTAATGGAGGGTGGGAAGTAAAAGGCGCCCCGAGCGAAGCGCTGCGGGGTCTGGGCTGGGCGGACACGCGTGTGCGCGACCGGCCGCGAGTTCGCCCGCGAGGGGGCCCGTGAGCCGTGAGCGCTTCGTGCTCGCCTGTGGCTGTACTATCAAAAGAGGGGGGAATAACTGAGTAACCGGCCTTGTATTCGGAGTCTTGCACTTGACGCTGGCCCAGTTTTATGTGAAAGAAAAAAGAAAAAAAAACCGAAAGACACTATATCAAAAATTCGTTTCGAAAGGGAGCCCGCAATCAAAGGGTAGGGGGCTTTAATCTCTGCTACCGGCAATTACACACTGCAGCAGGCTCCAAGTCAGTTCTGAGCCCTTTTCCTCCTGGTACTGATGTGAGGCCCAGTCATGAGCTCTCCATCAGGTGTGAGAGCAGAGGGGACACGTGCTTGCTGTTGGCAGCTTTATCGGGCCGCATCGCAGCAAGAAAATTGGCTTTAGCCTCCAGGGAAACCGAGCTACTGCGGATGAAAACACGGCAGCGGGTGGAGTGTGATTAAAGAGGAAAACACAGGGCAAGGGGGTGGCCAACCCCCTTGCTTGTCATTAATAATCTTAACTGATAGCTTCACTTACATGCACTTTGTTATTCTCAATTTAAAAAAGAAAAAAGGACTGAAAGCACTTATATCCTGTCTGGAGCCACTGGGTTAATAGAAACACCAATGAACTCTGACCATAGTGGGTTTTTTAAAAAAAGTGTCAGCTTTAATTACTCATTTATTTATACATACACACATGTATTTTTCAAATAAGATTTGAAAATAGAAGACTAGTTTGCCAAGACTACTTGCACCTTATGAGCTTTCAGGGACACAGGAGAAACTACTCATTAGAATGGGAGAAAAAAGCCTTTAAAATGTTGCCTTTAGAACTGCAGGAGTCACAAGAACTGGGTACCTTAGTGCGTGCTGGAAAAGGATGGCTTTTCACCAGTAGGTGCCACTGCAATTATACGAAACGTGTGGCTCACCACTAGGGTTGCCTGGGAAGGAAGTGTTCAAAAAGCTTGAAAAGCACTACTCAGAGCTATATAAATCTAATTTCTCAGCGAAATTGCAGTCATGTAAATGATTAAAGTAGTGACAGAAAGCTCCTCCAATTGATCTGTGGCCTCTGGAAGCTTTCCAGACCGGCATAGGTGATAGCTTTCTAATGTTCTTTCACCTCAGATTTGTAGGCACTTACTTAAGTAGGTACAGATGTCGATTTTGCTTAATAGCAAAATAAAGCCAACTAATAAAAAGGTTTTCAGATCCTAGGGGCTTAGAGACTACACACTGAAAATTACTTCTTGGTGACTCATGGGCAGCATATCACATTCAAACCCTTGAAAATTCAGTTCATGATCACAGGAAATTAAGTTAAAACTAAGAGGAATGGAAAATGCAAAGCACAGCATTGCTCATGGAGCATTATGTCTTTCTTGTTGTTGCTCTTGGCCCAGGGAAGACAGTGTATGTGATCATTGCTCTATAAGCTTCCTGATTGAGAAACTCACTAGCAAAGTAAATGCAGCTTTGTCTTGCTATGTAGCTTATACCAAGTTTCAAGCAGGGCTGTAGTCAGGTCCTAGTTCAGAAAAAAAAAAATTGGTCCTTGCAACATAACATCGGAAAGCTACTTTGACCTGAGCTGGCTTGTGGCTTCTCAGCAGTGGAAGCATAATTAGGAGTCAGACCAAGCTTTTCCTATGGTGGAAAGGAGAGACATGGAAGAATGGAGGCAGAATCGTGGGGAGTCAAGTGCCACCAGCAGAAATGAGGAAAGCCCTGAAATGGTGTAAGGACCGATAGCAGATGCCACTCCAGCATCTCAATCCCTTCTCTGTGACAGTTACCAGCTGGCTTTCCCAGAAACCTGGTGTCAGCAGCAAGGCTACGGGCTTCCTGCCACCCCCAGCAGTCTGCTGTCCTCGCTGTCCTCAGCTGCCTCCTGCTTTGCCTCTGCCAGTGGGTCACTCTGGTGTCCATGAACTCTTCCAACATCTGCAAGTTACTGCAGCCAGGGCAGGACCACTCTGAATGGGAGAAGCAGAGTTAAGTAATACCATCTACCAGAAATGCTAGGCTATTCTCTTGGCAAAACTTTATATTATGGCGGCCTAGAAGAGAAAGAAGAGATGCAAGTTCAAGCTAGTACAGACAACTCTATGGCACTCTCTAACTCGGTAGATATTTAAAGCAGCAGCATCCAATATTTCTCAGTCATTTCCTCAGAGAACAATATTTATAAAACATTGATCTGAGTGTAATAATTTTTGTTTTATGAGCTTTCAGGTGATTATAAAAATGGAAAAGGGACACAGCTTATACTGAAGAGGAGAAAAAAAAAACAGTATCCTGAATTTTGTGTAGGGCTTCTTTGCCTTAGACTATCTTCAAATAGAATAGAGCATCTTTTAAACATTAGTTTGACTTTAGACAGCTAAACTTTAATATTTTTAAAAAACACCCTTCCTCAATGGAGAAAACTGATACTCTCTAAGGGATTCATTCAGTTTATGCTGGGACAGGGCTCTGAAATAGATTAGATTAATTTTTCTCTGAAACTGTCTGTTTTGCACTGCTAGGTACAAAAAGACCAAAGAGTGGCTACATTTTAGATGTGCAAAACTAGATAAGATTAATATTGCTGTTTATGCATTCCAGAATACCATTGGATTAATAAAATTGTCAAGTCCTAGTCTATACCCATAGAAATAAATGTCAGGGCTACCCTTAATTTAAGAGACTAATAGCTGAGCAGAATGGTCAAACATGGTTTTTGGTGGCTTGATTTGAGGTGCCTATTTGTGATGACCCATAGGAACCCACTTTTTAGAGAGTATTCTTCCTTTTGAAAACATAAGTGCCATGAAGGGATCTCAAGCTGGGCTTCCAAAGACTGGAGGCCATCAGTAGCACAAGTAGATTTTGAAAATCTGGTCCTGCGTTTTTCCAGTCAAGAAAGCACTCTTATTCCCCTGCATCCCATTCGCCTACAGAAGTCTTCACAGCTGCATTGCCCAAAGCAAACAGATGGTTTCACCTGCAAGGTTTTGTCTCATGTAAAATTCATGTTGTGGATTGAAAAAGAATGTATTTAGGGTTTATTGTTCTAAGCAATGTTTAGTGTGGTTATTAGAACAATAACAACAATAAACCTCAAACAGTCACACCGGAAAAGTCATCAGGATGGTTTGGGGAAATCATTGGCTTGGATTGCGGAAGGAGTAACTGAAAGATCAAAGCTATGAAGTCTACCAGAAACATGAAAACCCAAAGGTGTGGGATACCATAAAAGGGTTAAAAATGATGATGTAAATCATGTGTGTTGGTTAAAATGCTGTGAAAGCTCAGACAGAACCTGGAGGTATAATAAATAATCTTTGAATACCTGAGAGCCTTGTGGCCTCTCTGCCATTAATCAGAAACCACAGACTGAGGGATTGGCTGGCAAAACATTAATCATTAAGCAATTAATTCCAGCCGTGAAAACAACTTTGTGATTTCCTGAGTAGGTGGGATTGAAGGAGGCATGGCATGATTTTGTTTCTTCACTATAAAGGAAATGAAGAAGTACTGAGGAGGTTATATATTCATCATTCAGAAGGGATAGAAAATCTCCTTTATTATCTGGGTCTTCCTCTAGCTTTGTGTTTATATGAAATGGGAAGAGTGAAAATTGCTACTTGTTTTCTTAGGAAGCAGTAATAAGCCTATTGAGCGTAAAGCTTGCTACCTTTGTGTGAGACTAACACAAAGGACCTTTATTTCTTGTGTCTTATATTTTACTGCAGTTCTCTGTAATTAAAAAGAAAGCTAGAAATACCTTTGTATTTCTCTGGGCACCTTCATCAACCAAAACAATGGTCTTGTGAGCCTCATGACATCTGTATTTTTTCTTTTTTTGAGTTTTAATTTCTTATTATTTATCAGTTACATCAGCATCCTAGCTTTTCTTTGTTTTTACTGTTTATATCAATGGATAAACATTTAAAAATGCTGGTCTTAAAAGATGAATAATAGGAACTCAGGGACAGCAGAATTGAAAATGTATACTTAGGGATTTTGATTTTTCTGCTTCAAAATCAAACATGTTGTTTAGTTTTGTAGATACTTTAATTAGTTTAAGGGATCTTGATTTTTTGTTTTATTTTCTATATTATGAGTTGGAAATGCTGCTAGAACTACCCCTTACATTTTTAAACCTGAAATACATGCATAAAGAGAAGTCTGTCTTAGTCATGTTTTTCTTGCCACTACTGAATGGAAACCTGGCCCCTCAGGGGCAGCGAGCACAATTTTACAATTAACTTCCAGAGACTGCCCTTCTGGAAAGTCTTGTAGAATGTATAGCTGAGTGTGATATAATTAGAAGTCATCTAAATACCTTTGTCAGCTTGAGCCCAGATAATTTGCCAAGCCATATGAGAAGTTTGTGACCGAAACCAGCCATGGTTGTTTGGCTAGTACCCTAATGACTGGCCATCTGCCCCCAAGCTGACTGCACAAATATGGGGAAAACAACTGCACTAGCTGTTTTCTCTGGTCAGCCTAGTCAATTATTGTAATAGACAGAGACCTTTGGTTGTGGTTTCTGAAGGACTATTCACAAGTTTGACACGCTATATGTTTTAAAAGCACTGATTTTCAGAGGAAGATTCAAATGCTTCTGCTTGCATAAAATATGTAGAAATATCTAGTGATGAGACACATGAGGGAAACTTTCAGCAAAGGAAAGAGATGTCACAGTTCACACGGGGTACCCGTTCAGTCTAAAGAGATGTCATCAAAGCTTAAGGGGTTTGCAGAATTAAGTATGCTGCCTGTATTTCATATGTCAATAAGATGACTTTATATGCAGTAGTTTCCTTTCATCAGAAAGTGTCTTAAACTGCAAGTGTCTTGGAGTGCATTCAGACCATCCATATATATTTTTTTTTATCTCTTTCTCTGCTCAGCTGCAGTGTTGGCAAAATGGAGTACATTTATGTGTTAATTGGGGAAAGATTGTCCTTATCTTTAGAGTCAGACAGTTCCTGCCATGGGTCTAACAAAAAGGAAAGGTAAAAATAATTTGCCCAATTGAGCAAATGTTCAGTTAGAATAAAATATATTCTGAGAAAGATGTTTTGTGCTTGCATGTTATTTCAGTCTCATTAAAGAGAGGCAGTTGCAGCAGTGCCTAGCTAAGCAAAACATTTTATGAGCACGTAATCTGTCTGGCACAGGTGGCCTGAATTCATGACTTGCTGTGGAGTTTCTAACTGTAATTATTCTTCATTTCTACCTTCTTTTTCAACTTATGAATTAGTCTCGTTTGAGGAGACAGGATGTCGGCTTGAAAAGCCACCTGGATCAACTAGACCAGCAAATAAGTGAGCTGAAGCTGGACGTCAGTAAGACCTCCAGTGAATACCTGGACAGTGACAGCCGGCCGAGCTCAGGTAATGTACATTTGGTCATTTATTGCCAGGAGTATGGTGCTGATAGAACTGAAAGATACAGGCTGCTAAACAAAACTCCCTGTGTTACTTGATCAGAAACGGGGCCCATGGGCTAAGGTAGAGAGTAAATGACCTGGCACAGAGTGTGCATGTTGGAATCATAGGAGTGTTCCAACAAAGCTGATGTAATTAGAAAATGCTGCTTCGTTCACACAGAAAGCTTACTCTGAAAGTACATAAGATTTTGATGAAAATGGGCATTTTAGCTACAAATAGAAGGAGGAGGAGGATGCAGATTGATTAATCCCTTGCAGACCTTATCCAGTGCAGAATGCCATTGACAAATAACTAGAGTAGTTCCTGGAAGTAGGGAGACCAACATTGAAGTCAGTGCTCTGCTTGAATCACAGAAAGCTCTATAAAGCCTTTCAGATTAATGTCACTGCTGTACTCGGGCTTAATGAGTGTTTGATCATTTATATAAAAATGAAGCAGTTCTATTAAAACACTCAGAGAAAAGCTACCCCAGTCATTTGCTGGCCAAAGCTCTCATGGACTGAGGGAGACCAAGTTTCAAGTCTCTGATCTCATTCACACAGTGAGCTGAAATGTGGCCTTATATAGATAGGATTTCTGTCAAAAGCAGTTTCTGTTATTTAGTGTGAGGCAATAGGAATACTTCTTTTCAAAAAGAATTTTGAAATTACTTAAGCCTTCAGTGAGAAAAGAAAATCTTCTTGAAAAAGATCAGAGAGAAAACATCTTCCAACTAATTACTTCTCCTAATAGTTTTCAACCATTTGTCCTAAGTATAAATTATATTAACAGTGTATGTGTTTTTGCAGGCTGATAGTTATAATTTCAATAGGAAGTGCAGGGTTCTGTGAGTGTTTCAATTCAAGAATAATGTGATTAGGCGTACACACATAGTTCAAAGCAATTGGCTTGCTTTTCTGTTTGCTTTGTATAGAGAGGACTAATAAAAATTCCTATCCTTACCTTAAGCCTTATTTAATACAACTTTCATGATTAATTGGCAATAGTAACAAGACTGGGAGAGTGAGACAATAGTCTCCATTTTCTGCCCTTACACATTCCTGCCATCTTAGGCTTGGCAGCTCTGATCACAGACTAGTTTTGCTATGCTTTCCAGTCTTGACTCCCAAATAATTTACAATGACATAAGGTGGCCTTATTTTATACCTGTTGCATAATAGTTCCCAAATAAGTTCTTCGGTGAAGAATTATGCACCTCTTCCTATCTCAGAATTAAGCATGTACATGTATGCCGTGCTGGCTCATGACCTAATTAAATAATGCAGAACCCCCAAAAATGTGTTGGGTTGGAGTGCCTCTCTCTGAAAGTTATCTCAGGAAATGATCATAAATTCAGACCTGTGGCAAATAAAAAGGAGATTTATTTTCTTTGTTTTTCTTCTACCAAACATGTTTAGTCACTGTAAATATAATGATCTCTGTATTTATTTTAACTTTGCAGGCTTCTATGACCTGAGTGATGGTGGTTCTTGCTCACTCTCCAATTCCTGCACCTCCGTGTACAGTGAGTCCATCTCCTCCTCCCACACCAGTCTGTTGCCGAGCTCTCAACACCCTAAAGCAAGGCTCAGTGTGTTTGATTACCGACCCAAGTCTGCAGATGAAACTACTGTGCACAGCACCAGCTTCCCACAACAGGGAACCTATGCCAGCGATGTATGTCGAATTACGGATAACACAGACGTTTCTGGGACTCCAGCCAGGTCCCGACCAAGGCCAGTTTCCACAGGTAATCAGCTGAAGAACTGGATACTCATACAAGAGAAGGAGGAAATCCCAATTTTTGCTTTTAGAAGCTAATACACCAACAGTGCAATTCGTATACAGCACTAATTTTAAATACATAAAGTGAGAATAAAACCAAAACTGTATACTGTCCAATTTTTGCTTGTCTCCCTGAGGTGCTTTTAAAACAGCAACAATTAGAGAGGAATAATAAAGACAGAAATCAAAAGTGCTTAAGTGCAAGAGATAAAATTGTAATGGATGTTTAAAGATCATTTTAGTTTACCTGTTCATGAAGTAGAAAAAAAATCAGTATTTGCATGAAATGACAGGGATGTATGAAACTACAAGGTGAATTCATTATTAGTGCTGTTATATTTTACTGAGAAAGATTTCATAAAAATCTAAGGAGAAAGAACTGCTTCCAAATTTAGCTTCCATTTTCTCAGTCGCTTTTAAAATGAATGTGATAATACCTAGCCATCTGTATTCAAATTAGTATGGACTCTAATATTAGCCTTTTTATTATACTTTTATATGTAAAGTGAGAGATAACAGACACCAAAGGTTAATGGACTACCTAGGAACCAGCTGTGAACCTAAAGTCAGGTCAAATCTGAATTTTGCTTCATACATTGGGACAAAACTATTCATATTCTAGTTTCCTCTTTACCCAGCTGTAGAGTGAGTCGCTGCATGGCCCTGCATGTGGGTCCATAGACTGGCAGCCATGTGGTTATGCAGTTCTTATGGTGAGCCAGCCATCTGCATGATAGTTAAAACAGTGAAGGCACAGAGAATATCATTTCAAGCAGCATTGCTCTGAGTCTTCTCCACTGCTCCTGGACCTGAGCTAGTTCATCTCTGGCTTGCTTAGAGCAGAAATGAGACCGTGGATGATGTACCTTGCTGTACAGATGCATCTAACATGATGCTGGTAAATTACAGCCTAAGAGCGAGATGTTTTCAAGGCTCCACAGTATAAGAGGGATGTGGAGCTACTGGAGAGAGTCCAGCGCAGGGCTACGAGGATGATCAGGGGTCTGGAACATCTGCCCTATGAGGAAAGACTGAAAGAGCTAGGCCTGTTCAGCCTGGAGAAGAGAAGGCTGAGAGGAGACCTGATCAATGCCTGTAAGTACCTCAATGAAGGGAGGCAGTGAGGAGGATGGTGCTGGCCACTGACAGAACTAGAGGAAACGGCCAGAAACTAAAGCATCAAAAGTTCCACAGGAACTTAAGGAAAAATTTCTTAACAGTGAGGGTGACAGAGCACTGGAACAGGCTGCCCAGAGAGGTTGTGGAGTCTCCTTCTCTGGAGATCTTCAAAACCCACTTGGATGCCGCCCTGTGCCACGTGCTCTAGGTGACCCTGCGTGTGCAGGGGGGTTGGACTAGATGACCTCTAGAGGGCGTTTCCAACCTTGAGCATTCTATGATTCTATGATTCTTGAGGTTGGCAGTGGAGCTGAGCTCAGAGCTCTCTGACTTCTGTGTTCAAGCTTGCTGAGACCCAGCAGGTACATTCTTATGAGCCCTTCCTGGTTCCTTTGCATTACTTCAGAGTCACTACTCCTTTTATTAGATTTTTTTCTATTCAGTTTGTACTGGGATAAGGTTTTGTTTTGTTAGAAGTTTGCAGTCGTAATATAGATCTTTCTCGACTCACTACAAATAAATTAATGAGTCCGGGTTCCTTATGCAAAGGAGCATCTTGCATCTTGAGCTAGAACATGACTTAGAATTTTGTCTTCCCTTTTAATGTAGCGTTGAGAACAAATCAGTTTGCCCCTTTGCGAACAAATCAGACAAAAGCCCCTTTCTTACTCACAGAACTTTTGTGTTGCACAGTGTATAAAAAAGGAAATAAAATGAAACTGTCAGTTTCCTTATGAATTTTCATTATGGAAATACATCAGGTATGAGACATCATCATCCTGATCTTTGCTGTAATAGATCTTTAAGTGCCTCAGGTAAGACACTTAAGATGACTACAAATTTTGAACTCTCCCAAAGTTTCCTCTAATAGGACAGAAATAGTCACTGTAAGTGAATTACTTAGCTGGGCCTGATGCTTGGCTTTGCTCTGGCAGCAGGATGTAGTGAGGAATTTGCTTGCTGAGGATTTGTTGGCACTACAGTCGTCGCTGTCGTACTGAGAAATACAAAGTAATTACAAATGGTTGCTTCTGCTACTCTTGGTACCAGATTTAAGCAAATTGCAGTGCCATAGTCCTCTGCTGGATGACTTATTTGGACAGAGCACTGACTGTCCTAACACAGCTGTTCTGCTCTTACAACATAATCTGGCTTTTAGTCACAGCAAAGGGGATGCTCCTGAGATGAAGCAGAGCAGAGAAGTGCAACTTAAAGCAATTTTGAGGGTATTCCAAGGTTTGAGAGATATGAATTAGTGGCCATAAATGCGATTTTCAGGGACTGAGCCCCCATCAGCCTGATTATTATCCTTAGAACTTCTTATATCAAGGTACAAAGGACTCTCCACTCTTCTACACATTCACAGTTGTTCAAAGACTTTTTAAAAACCCACACATGGAATGGTTTTCTGCCATTTCACAAAACCTCTGAATAATTCTTGATGGAATAAAAGGCTTTACAAACTTTGAATGTAAAAAGTGAATTTCTCGGAAAAGCCATGAGGCTGGTAGTGCTGCTGAAGGAGGAGCTAGAATTCAGAGTTAACCATTAAAAATAATGCAACGAACTGCTAGCATGCTGGAAGTTTAAGTTATAGATTGGTTATAGTAAAAAGAAGTTAGATGCTTAGCCAGAGGAAAGTGTTAACAAATTATATATGTTAATATATGTTCCATTAGATTAATTTACATGACGTTTAAGTTCAAGTTTTCTGGTGCTTTTCATCTCTACTCAGAAATAATTTTTTAAAAAGCTTGTTTATTCTGGTGACTTCCTCTTAGTTTGTGAAGTTCTAGAACATCTTTCTGTCTAAGCACAATTTAAATTTTATGCAATATGAGTTTAACCTTTTAAAGGCATTCTCATCTCCATTTTGTTCAGGTGAATAAGTTCTGAAGTAATGTGGTGCCATTTGAGGACTGAAACTTTTTCCCTCCTTCATGCTACAACTTTAGTAAAAGTTGGCACATGCTACTGAAATAGTGCATTTAACATAAGACAGCTTGAGTGTAATTGTCTGTGATTTAATCAGGTTATTTATTTTCATCCAATATGTAGGTGACTTGGAAAGACTCATTCCAGCAGACGGTAGATTTCAGAAAGAGACAGATCCCAAATTCATGTTGCCCCTTTGCCATACAGGAGAACTACACTTGTTCAACATGGACCCCAAATTCCAGAATGATTTGGTCTCTAAGAACGGCATTGATGTATACCCTTACCCAAGCCCCCTTCATGCAGTGGCTTTGCAGAGCCCCCTCTTCTCCCTGGTGGGGACATCCCCAGAAACAGACCTCCAGACTCCCTCCAGCAAACCCCTGCCTAGTGTGACGGGTCCCAGCCTGATGAGGACTAGGCCAACCACAGAGGCCAAGCCAGGGGGTTACATCAATAAATTACTCCAGCTGACGAGATGCAAAGGCAGCAATGGGGCCGATGCCAGCGAGCGGGTTTCCACAAAGAGCCAGCCATCTGCAATGCACCAGAGACTCATTATAACCCCCAGCACTGGCGGAGTGAAAATTAACAGCAGCAGTAGCCAGCTGGAAAAACAAGGGAGCTCTCTGGAAAGCAACAAAGCTGAGGGGAAGTTCCAGAGAGAGGTGCCGGAGGGGGAATGTGCTAAGCAGCAGCAGACCACATGCTCTCTGAATGGAGAGCTGCTGCCGTCCACCCCGCCTGACACAGAACCGTCAGCTGTGAATGCTTCTTATCCTGCCAAGTCAGCTGCAAGGAGCTCTCCTCTGTCAGAAGCAATGGAGAGTAGCGAGGAGCACAGTTCATCCTGTTCACAGCTATGCCAGGATGACTCCAGCCAGAGCACGTGGAACTCTAAGCCTGTCCCATCAAAAAAGCTGCCCCTCAAAAGATGTGGAAACCCCAAACTGACTAACACCGGGGGTCATGAGCGAGCAGTACGGAGTGAGTTTGTTCATGCTCAGTTTGTCCCTGCAGAATCCCACCAGGTCCGGGTCAAGTTTGCCAATTCCAAAACAAAGGCAGTAAAGATAAAGAGGAGAAACAGTGAAAAAGTGCTCCGGCCTGGGAACCAGGCCTTTTGCATGGAGAAGGCAAGAGGGCTCCATGGAGCTGCCAGGCTGCCTGCGGAGTGGAATCAGCCCCAAAGACCACATGGAATGAAGAACCTTGCACGGAGACCTTCGTATTCAGGTGATGTGACTGGCAGGTCATGCTCAGAGTCTAGCCTCTTGCCCACGCAGCTCAGACTGCTCCCCGTGCCGTCCAGGCCGGAGCTGCGTGGGGCTTCTGCTAATGCGCTGTACTCCCTCGAAGCAGCTTATGTGGATGCAGCCGCCAAGAAGAAGCAGCGCAAGTGGCAATCCACAGTGGAGATTTCTGCCAAAGCCAACCTCTCTAGTGGCCTTGGTCTCGGGGCACCAAAGCAGCCAGCAAGGAGGGCTGGTGTCCTGCGTACTGTGAGTATGAGGGCTCGCTCAAAGAGTCATTGCCATGGAGCTAATGCCAAAAGCGAGTCAGACCACTCTGAGTACTCCGCAGAGTGCGCGTCTCTCTTTCACTCCACCATCGCAGAGACCAGCGAAGGGGAGGTCAGCGATTTCACGGCTAACCGCTTTGGGGACAGTGAGTCCAGTGAAAGCAATCTGGGCAGCAGCAGTAGCGGCAGCAGCCTTGCCCTTGACTATGATGAGGGTGATGAAAATGAGCTGATTTGGCCTGAAGCTTCTGTCAGACAATCAGGGTCTGTCCAGGCCTCTTCCAGGCCGCTTCCCCCAGTTCCCAAAATCTGTCGCATCAAAGCTTCAAAGGCACTAAAGAAGAAGATTAGGAGATTCCAGCCTGCTTCTCTAAAGGTTATGACCATGGTTTGAGGGAGATCAATCATCTCTTTATCCCAGTGAGACATCCTGCTGGCTGTCCTTTGCTAAACAGAAGAACTGATGTGTGGAGAAAAGGACTTGCTTAAATGAACTGTGAACAATCCCTGAATCAACACAAGGGATCTTCTAATTTGTTAATGCTTGGACATAAATATCCCTGTAACTTCCTCTTTTGCCATTTACTCTGTAAATATGGATCTATATATATTGTATGATGCCTTTTCTTACTAAGCAGAAGGGTCATCATGATAAAAATGAAATGTTAATATGCGATGACATTCCCAAACAGCCTGTGCTGTAGGATTTTGTGGGCAGGTTCTTGAGAGGTTTTTGTCCATGTGCACCCAAAAAATCATTCTAGGACACACACACTTCCTGGGAAGTGTTCCCCCCGCCAAAACTGAGATGTGGGAGCTTCTCTGTCTCTTGTGAGGAATTCCCTGCAGACTAAAGCAGCATTAACCACTCGCCTGTCATTGTGCTCATGTGGAAAAGCTCTCTGTGCTTGTAGCTTTACTCCTTTCCATAAGTACTGTTCCCATACAGTCACAACATCAGGAGGACAAGTCTGTTACTCAGTAGGAATGTTCTGTGCTTAGCAAGAAGGCAAATGTATTTGTGAATGAGAACAGGAGTTCAGTCTATTTCCTGTTTCAAAAGTAAGCGTATAGAGGGTTTTCTAATGCCATCTTTGTGATGTTCCATGTTATTGTTCATTTATTGAATAAATAAAAGAACATAAAGAGGGTTCAGTACCACAGCATGTGAATAGCTGGGAGTGGCAATATAGCTTTGCCCAGAAATTGCAGACTCAATAAATACTATTTAATGTACTTCTGAAAAACTGTTCTTGTCTGGCTTTCATGTCTGAAGAAAATGATTCTGAACTCTGTACAAAGGATAGGAAATGTGAATATTCTGGGATTGCACAAGGAATGCGGATGAGTGTTCTCTGATGGAGCAAGCTCTGTTTCCCCATCCCTTTGCAAAGGTATTCCTTTTTATTGTTCAGCAGCTCTCTGTAGCGCATGACCAGTGTCCTTTTAGCCCCTACTTCAAGACACCTGCTTCTGCACCTGTTGTTGTATAAGTGAATTTAAAAACAAAACTTGTATTGAGGACAGGACACTGTTTGACTTGCTTAAATTGGTGCATTTTTCTTTCAGGGCACTCATTTTAACACACACATATGCTATATATGTAGCATTTTGAATGCCCTTGAGAGTACCTGTATGAAGATTTGAATTGATTGCTAAACTATCAAGTGACTTTTTTGTGTGTCCAGACAAGCAGTCCTAATTCTTTTCTTTGAGCACAGCAATCTGGAGGCAGAGCTGAAATTCACCCTGTGTTTGCCAAAGATCGGGTATTATCGTTCTACCCTGTTTCAGTACCCCATTTGAATAAATTCCTGGCCTAGGAGATGGAGGACTTGCCTCAGTCAGGGAATATGCTGGCTCTGAAACAAAGGGCATGTGCTTAGCAGAAACTGTGGGTAAAAGTGAGTGTTTACTCGCAGGATTCATTAGAATCAGAACAGAACAGAAGCATTGAAACAGAAGCACTGAAAGACTAAACTTTTACACTAATGTCTTCTATTTTGGGAAACCATGTTATGTTTTTAAGCCACTCTATTTTCAAGTTATTTTTGGAAAATGAGCTACAGAAAAGTAAAAGTTGTAAGGTAAATTAATTTTAATATTTGCAGCTAAAGCATAAGGCAATCCTTCACTGATATTCTTCATAGTAATAACAATATTCATAATTCACACTGCAAAAAGGAAAATTTACTCAGTGGTATGTGTTTAAGCTCTTTTTTTTTAGGTTCTCAAGAATATTTGGACATATTACCGCTCCAGTAAGATGAATGGGAGAATTTCATGGGCCTGGTGGTGGTTTCTTGTTCAGCGTGTCTAGCAGCAGAACAAACAAAATAGTGATTTATGGCATGTTGACTTTCCACACCACAAAAAGATTCTTTTTGCATTTACACAAAAACTTTGGTTTTGGTGAGTCTGTCAAAAGTTACATCGAATCTTTAATCTGTGGATTTTCTGACTTAAAGTGGTTAGATAGGAATTTTGTGGGGAATTAGCTTGAGGGTGTTTATTTTTACAGGGTGGAAATTGTTTCTGACTAGAAAACTGTTTTCTGAGTAGGAGCATCCTGAAACCCAATAAACACAACTACTGTTGGGTGTTGTTAATACTCCAGCAGAAATGGTGTCGGGCACATGATGAAAGTGCTGATGTGCCAAAAACTTGGCTCACTCTGCCAAGTTTTTTTAAAAAATTTTATTGTTACTGTTTTTCCTTTTTTATTAAGATTTGTACTGACAGGTTCTATGCCAGATGAGGTATCCCTTCCTCTACCACTCCTGACCATCTGCCCAGGTCCATCTGCCAGGTCAGATAACACCTCCTCCCAAAGCCAGCACAGACGCTTTAAGCCGGCACAAACTTCATCATCACCTGCCCTAGCTAATTTGACAAGTGTTATTATGTGCCCGTGCTAGGGCCAGAGGAAGGCTCTAGTACTGGAGGACCCCACCAATTCAGATGATCCGCTACTAAGTTCCAGGGTGTCACCCTGCCCAGTGATGCTGTTGAGCTGTGACTTTGGGGGAACGACAGGACTGGTGGTATTTCAGGTGCCCAGCGTGTGGACAGCATGTGCTGCCCCACTGCCTGCCCTTAATACCTGAGGGGAAGCAGAGCGGTCCCTGCAGTGCTACATCCCGTTGTGCACACGGTAGCGCAAAGTCACGTGGCAGATACTGGCAGTTTGCTCCAGGATGTTGGACCTTCTTCCTAGCCCTCTGCAGAAATGCTGCTTTCCTCTGGCATACGTGCCATGCATGGGCTGCATCAAAGCACTCTTCCATAGTCCTCTCTCTTGAAGCAGAAGCTGTGTTGGGAACATCACTCCTGCTTTGGAGGGTAGAAGCAGGCCAGTGCAAAGCAGGCCAGAAAGCTGCCATGGTTCATACCGTGGCAGCACTGGCATTAAAAATATGATTATGGTTTAGTAAACTGATAATTACCTGTATCTTTTAGTACACTGAGAAATTTGGTAATACATGGGTACAAGTGTGATGTGTCCATCTGCAACTATGGGCTAGCTCTGACAACAGCAGCCAGCAATCCCCTCCTGGAGAAAACAAACGTGAAACAATAAAAAAAAAATCCTGTGAATACTTTGATGTGCTGTTCACTATACACAGGTATTAAATGTCATAAAATAGCCTTCAGCTCCATATGATGTAAGTGAGAATCAGGCGCATACATATTACTCACAACCATGGCAATGCACAGTAAAAATATTCCTTTTTTATTTTCCTTCATGAAGCCAAGACACAAAATCCTTTTACCCTGCTCTGTCTAGTACTGTAATTGCTTACAAGAATGCAAAAAATGTCAACTGGTGATTCAGTTAAAAGTCTAACACCAAACCTGATGTATTTTAGGGGTGAGAAGTTTAGCACCTTTAACTGTGACTTGATTAGCAAGTGTATTGTTCTGGCGGCTGTGTCAAGAACAACTTTATGCAGTGTCTTCCTTGCAGAAACGAACATCTGTCATAATGGCTCTAAACTGTAGTGAATCAAAGTCATCCATTACTGAAATGTATGTGCCAGATCAGTGTCTTCTTTCTGTCAAAGGCAGACATTTACACTTTGATGTAGGAGCAAATTACTCCTAAACCTCAAAGGAAAGGGAAAAAAAAAAAAAGGAGAGAGAAAGAGTAGAAAGGGGATTAAGGAAGCATTAGGAATTTATAGAATAGATCAGTTTTATAATTTTAAAGACGTCATTAATCCTTTTATTGCTCTAATAATGTTGGAATTAGATGATTACCAGCCACCTCGGCCTTGATATGAATGTTTTTTTCTTTCGGATTAAGTGTGTGTTAAGCATACAATTTTAGCTCTTTAAATCCACATCCAGTACACAAACCATGGGACTGAGAGCACCCATACTTTGTTAGAGAGTTAATTGCTAGGGAATGTTCAGAAAAGCCTATGTCAAAAATTACTGGAATTAAGCAGATTTCTTATCTCAGACGCAGGCTATGTAAATGGAATTTATCTGTAAAGGAGAGAAGATTTTCATGGTTATATACCAGGTGTACTCATTCACTGTTTTGCTTACTATGCTTCTATTGGTACATCTTAGCTCACCAGTGTTGCCATTTGTGTGTTGCCATTTGTGTTTTCTGATTGCTGGACATTTGACCTTGGCATCAAATTCTAAGTATGCTGTAAGGACCAAAGCTTGAGGTTATTTCTTCAAGAGAAAAATTTCCATCCATCTTCATAGCATTAGGTGCATATAAAGATACATAGAAATAAACAATTAAAAGTAGGATGGGTGCAATTCTGCACACAGCTATTGCTTTGGAAGTCAGGCAGAAAGGATTTTGGATCACAGTATTGCTTCTGTATCTTGTCACTAACTCAGACCTGGCTCTCAATAACTGAAGAGGTGTAGAGAACAAGACACAGCTGATTAAAATTATTACTATGAACATTCCCCTTTTTTGATCACACCTACTGAAGCTAAGGGATTTGGGGATAGTTTGACCAAAATCTTACTTTAGAGAGTGGTGAATTTCTTGAAAATAAATCCATGGTGTCGTTTGTGAAACCAAAATGTTCAAGGAAGGTTCATATGTGCTTACTTGATCTGTACCTGAATTCTGAATAATCTGAAATATCTTCATAACTATCTAGTATATCAGACTGCTCTTTTTTCTCCCTTAAAAAAAAAGAAAAGAAGGCCTATTTTACACAAGTAGAAAGTACCTCTAATTAAATGAGTATGACTGTTGAACTTTTCTACTTCTTCGTGCTGCATTTAGATGCAGTGGTTTTAATTATTTTCATATCCTGAGTTTCCTTTGTTGTCACTATGACATTGGAAGTGATATAATACTTGCATGGCTACATCCAAAGCTTTATAACCAATATTTATAGAGCTCTGGCTGCTTCTAGAAGGTCAGAGAAAGGTAACTATGAATAGCAAGCCTAATGCCAGCAAGCAGTACCACAGTATGAACTTTTATCTCAAAATTTTAGGAGCTCACAAATCAAGAAAGGCTGAAAAGCATATATTGTAACCTAGGTGCTTGAGAACAAAGCCAGAAATAATAGGAAGAATTCCAGGAGAGCTGAGATGGGGGGAAAAAAAAACAATTTCACAGTCTGGTGATAAGTTACTGCAAATCAAGGGGAAAAGATCTCCCCAGATGGAGTAAAATAAGCACAGAGGGCTGAAATGTTGGAACACAGGCAAGGAGAGTGATAAAAAGGGGCACTTTAAAGCTCTGTTATTATA